GCTCCCGCGCTAGGCGGACAAGGCTGCGCGTGCGCCAGGGGTGGGGTGCGCGTGCGCAGACCACCCCAGTGCCTCGGGTGCGCGTCTCGCCCAGTGCGCGCTCCTGCTCCCGAGTTTTCTGTACCTCGTCCATGTCTCTGGACGCCCAGAACCTGCAGAAATGCACATTTTCAGCTTCTAGTCCCTTTTCCCCTGCCTACCAAAGGGTAACCACTCGATCCTGCTCTGTAACAAGGCTTCCGAGCTGGCTTTCAGGGCCTGGGGACCCCCTGGGACCGCGAGGGATGCCAGGGTCCCCAGGGAGAAAGTCTGCCCAGGCTTCAGCACAGGTGGCGGGCTCTGCCCAGTGCCCTCCGCTTGCACAAAGTCTGTCTTTTCCTCCCATCCTCTTTGATCTCGGCTTGAGTGGGAAGAACGCAGGTCTGATGCTGTTGAGCGTCTTCGATTATAAATATTACCGAGCCGGGTTCATTGGCAAGTAAGGCCTTGGAGCCTTGGCGTGTGCTCCATCTCCGCTCGATATCGGCCCCTCCCCCTCCTCTCCCACAATTTATAAAGAGCTTTGGTTCTCCCTGTAGCCGCTTCAGGGGATTGGAAAAGCAAATCCTCTTTTGTTCCTTGGCTTTTTGAAAGCCTGTTCCCCAAAGAACAATGCAAATTGGCGGGATTTTGATGAAAGGTTTTTATCCTTACCACCACTACCTTCTTCCACAAGTGTTCATACAAAATGAACCTTTTATGCTAAACTTGTCCCGGGTTGGTTGTAATCAGCCTGAACCAGGTGTTGGGGTCGTCCTCGTCTGCTCTCGTTCTGAAAAGCCAACAGTCCGAAGAGCATATAGATTAAATGATTCTTGCGCTGCTGAGAAACTTTAATTGGTTTGAGGTCAATCATTTAGTTTTTAGAAAGTCTTCCTTGCTTCTTAATACTTTAGCCAGAAGAGATAACTGCTTCAAAAAAAGAGCTGAAGGAAACAAACAAAAATAGCCCACTCAGGAATCAAATGAAGAATTATGATCAATTATATTAGAGCTTTAAAAAAATATGTGTGATTTAGTGTTATTATTTGAAAGGTTTTTGTTGGGGGGTGATTTTTTTTTTTTTTGTTCTGTCCTGTTTTCTTGGTTTGGTTTGGGGTGTTTGAATTCCCTATGTAGCCCAACCAGGCCCCAAATTCTGGATCCCCCTGCCTCATCCTCCAGAGCAGTGGGGTTACAAAATGTGGGCCATACATCAGTTCGCCGTGTCTTAGTAACATCACAGAAAGGAGTATTACATTGCAAGAATAACTGTTAAATGTATTACACGGTACACTGTTTAAAGAAAAATTGCGTGGCATGAAGCCTTACAAACTTAATTTACTTCGTTTTTAGCATTTATAGAATAGAGTGCATGTCCCCAACACAGAGCTAGGTGATAGAAACACAGGGTATAAAGTACAAGTGCAATGGGAATCAGAGAAAGGAACTGTGAAAACCGACCTTGAGCACATGGGAGCAATTTATGGAGAATTTAAAGTCTAGTGTAGGAAGGTTAAAAAGTTCACCAAAGCAACAGCGAATTTGAACAGAAAAAAAGTAGGAGACTTTTGAAAAGGTAGATGCTTTGTGTGCAGGGGAGAAAAAACAAAAGATCTGCTAGAGAAATATCCTCAATTCAGATCACGGAGAGCTTTTCAGGTCATATTAGTAACAGAGCTAATGAAAATTATAGTAATTACATAATGACTCTGATCAGCTCCGACTCCTTAGAGAGTTTCTGTTTTTCTCTGGTAGTTAGTTACGGGTCCGTTTTCCGTTGTCACTTGTTTGGTTAAAGGCTGTCTATAATGAGACGCTCTCCAACCCACTCCCCTGATGTCTTCGCCTGTCACTTCATCCCCTTCTCCTCTTTTCTGCCAATCCTTCTGAGAGACAATTAGAGTCACTCCCAGGACTGTCTCGGAGCAGCTTACCACCTCAGTAATGACCTCATTACCAAACCCCAGACCCCTTGGCTTTGCTGAGCTTCCTCAGATTTCTCTCCAGCTTACGTGAAGATATACTCAGCTCTCATCTCTCATCTCTCAACCCTCACCATTTCACTGCTGGTAAAGTCTGCCCTCAGCCTTCACTTGGTACCTGGTAAGCGTATTCAGTCCTGCAGAAGTGAACCCTAGGGACTGACTGGAGTTTGATTAGTTATATCTGAGTTTGAATTTTTAATTCCTCTTCGGCAGTTCTGCTGCAGTGTCCGGTTTAGTGGTGGTTGTTAGGTTTGTTTCCTTTCTTTTGTAGGCGGGGTCTCACTGCACAGCCCATGATGGCTGGATGACCATCCTGTGTAAGTCTCCTAACTGTTGCAATTACTGACTTGTGCCATGATGCCAGTCTTGGCTGACAGCAGTGACATCAAAATATCTAAAAGTTAACTTTCCCAGTTTATCAGGAGTTGCCCAAACTATTCTTCTGCCTGTTCATAAAGTTTAAACTCTCAGGCAAAAAGCATATATATCTTGGTTTGATTTGTTTTGTTTTTCTTTGTCTTCAAGATCTCAATTCCTATACCCGAGAATTCTGCCTTCTCTCTTTCTTCTCTTTCTTCCTGTGCCTGGTCCTGAACACTGACTTGATTCTGCTCCCTGTGTCTTCCCACCCAGACACTTGTAATCAGTTACCCATTCCCTTCTCCTGTGCACTTAGCGATTAACATGGAGGGCATTTTAAAACTGACAGCTCTAAGAGGAAAGGATCAAAGAACAAACAATCAAAAGGAGGCCTAGAGGCACATGTGTGTCCGTGTGGCACAGGGGAGCAGTACAGCAGGCTGTACATGGGTGAGCCTCGGGCTGAGCTCCGGCTGGCGTGCCTCCCCTTGACCCCTCCATAACCTCCCCCTGAAGGCTCAAGCACCTGGTGCTTCATTATTGCGGTGTTTGGTATCAAGTCGTGGAACTGAAAAGCCTTGGTTAATTGTCGCTCTCGGTGGCTCCAGCCCTTTGTTCCCTCCATGTGCTGGAACAGAACCCTTTCTGAAGCATACATAGCTCTGACTATGTTGTTGTCTTGATTAATTCTAGTGTCGCCACATTGCTTACAGGATAAAACTCAAACTTCTCCGGCGTCAGTCCAAAGACACTGAGCAGCTTCCTGCTCCCTCTCCAGCACTGCTTCCTCCTGAATACAACAAATCTTTCTCATTCTTACTGGTAACAGAAAACATACAACTGGGGATAACTGTGATAAAATGTATGCATAAGCTTATAAGAAGTCTCAAAATACATGGTTTATTACAAAAGTTTTAAATGCAGATAGCATTATAAAGAGTATACTACGTGCCAAGTTCTATGCTAAGTAGCTTCACATTTATTCCAATTTTCTTTCTTTCTTCCTTCCTTTCTTTCTTTTTCTTTCTTTTCTTAGACAAGATCTCTCTACATAGCTCTGGCTCTCCTAGAACTCATGCTGTAGACCAGACTGGCCTGGAACTTACAGAGATCCATCACCAGCCTTTGCCTCCTGAGTACTGGGTTAAAGACTTGTGTCACCATGCCTAGCATATTCCAATTTTTCAACAGCACTGTGGTGGCTTAAATGAGAAATGTCCCCTATAGGCTTCCATATTTGAATACCTGGTTCCCAGTTGATGGCACCGTTTGGGGATTCTTAGGAGGTGAGGTGTTGTAGAATATTATTTTAAGAAGTGTTATATTTGTTTATGCTGTGGAACATTTGTTTAATGATTCAAGGATGTGTTGCATTCTTTTATGTTGCATTTGTTTAACTCTGTGGAGCTGTGGTACTGTGTCTGACTAAAACACCTGATGGTCTAATGAAGAGTTGAATGGCCAATAGTAAGGCAGAAGAAAGGATAGGCAGGGCTGGCAGGCAGAGAGAATAAACAGAAGGAGAAATCTCTGGGGGAGAAGAAGAAAGAGCAAGAGAACAAAGAAAGGAGGACGCTAGGGACCAACCACCCAGCCACACAGCCAGCCACGGAGTAAGAATGAAGTAAGATACACAGAAATAAGAAAAGGAAAAAGCCCAGAGGCAAAAGGTAGACAGGATAGTTTAAGTTAAGAAAAGCTGACAAGAAACAAGCCAAGCTAAGGTCGGGCATTGATAAGTGATAATAAGGCTCCGTGTGTGATTTATTTGGGAGCGGGTGGCAGGCCCCCAAAAGAGCAATAACAGCCAGCAATAGTGAAGCCTTAGAGGAAGTACTCCAACCTCATTTACCCCCAGTTTGCTTTGTGCTTGCAGTTAAGGTCGTGAACTCTCAGCTTCCGGCTCCTTCCACCATGCCTACCACTTGTTACCACGCTTCCCAGCCCACGATGGACTTTTATCCCTCTGGAAACGTATGCCAAACTCCTTCCATAAGCTTCCTTTCGTCGGGTATTTTATCAGAGCAACGGAGAAGCAGCTACAAGTGCAAATATCTTTACTGTTTGCTTTGATAATAGCTAGTGGTTTTTAAAATGGGAATAATTACAGAAATCCAAGTCTCTCCAATATCCCCAAATATACAAAGAAATAGTAAAACTCAATAATAAGGAAGTCTGAAGAAAAAGATTTTAAAATGGAGCAAAGTGGGCTGGAGATAGTGCTCAGTGGATAAGACCACAGGCTGCTCTTGCAGAGGACCTGGGATTCAGTTTCTAGCATTCAAATGATGGCTCAAAACATCTGTAACTCCAGATCCAAAGAATGTGACACCCTCTTATGGCCGCCACACACATGTGATATAAATATCTAAAAGTGTGACAAATACATAAAAATATGTTTTATAACAAAGGTTTTAATGGGACTTCACTTAAGAAGGTATACAGAAATAATTATATAAAAAGACAGTCTACATCATGTGTCAGATGAGAAAGAAATCACCACACA